TGGCTGGGGCATATATTGGATAACTGGCATGTCTTTTCCCCAGCTTGTTAATTTCTATGATTTGAGGAAAACAGACCTTAAAAGGAATGGAGGAAGTACAATTTTCAGTGAACAAAAGTAAGGACTAGTTATTCTAGTATTTTGAAAAGTGTTTTTATGAGTACTTAGTAAATATTTATTGATGAAATATCATATATAAAAGAATCAATTAAATATTTACATTATCATGGAGTTAAGTTCGTAATTATTGGGAAAAGGTCAAAAAATTCCTACATTTCTGAGTTCATGACAGTAAACTTGTGTTTTTCTCGTGCTATTCACAGACTGCTTATGACAAATACAGTGCAAATGGAGATACTTATTCCCAACATGAACTGTTGAAACTAAATTTACTTATGTTGAGTATTACCATAGCAGGTATATGCCCCATAGAAAAATGATTCATGACTAATTGATGTATGTGTTTATATGTATATAAATGTGTATATGTATGCAAGTATATTTATAATTATATATAATATTTGAAAATGGAAAGGTATCTTTAATCACTAAAGAGTCTCATATTTCAATCTCTCAAATAATAATTTTATATCTGGAGTAGCAGTTTAAGAGTATGGGTGCTAAAACCATTTATTAGCTGTGTGACCTTGGGCAAGGTACTGAACCCTTTTGTAGAGCACTAATCTAATTTTAACTGTATCCCCATGGAGTGGTTGTGGGGATTAAGTGAATTAGAAGGTGGCACTGTATAAAGTACAAAATAAATGCAAACTTTCAGTACAATTTCTAAATTGTACAAGGCCCATGCTAGATACTCTTGAGAGAGGGATAAAAAAGAGACACTCTACTCTTATATAGTTTATCTAATTGGGAACCCAAACTATAGTCCCATATAAAGGTAAATATTTATACATTAGAAGAAAATCAACAGTTCAATTCAGCAGCACAGACCAGTCTCTTAAATACAGAATCCACGGGTGCTGGGTGAACTGGACCAGAAGAGTATCTTTATAAGGTGCTAGTCTCATGTTTATTTCCCTTCACCTAATGCTTACCTCTCTGATATTATGAAAAAAGGCTCAAGGCCGATTGTACAATATACATCGTTTTGCAGTGGTCGAGCCTATGTTAATCCTGCAGTGGCTTAGCCCTGTGTGAGCGTTAAATGATGCAGATGCTGACACTCGGATTAAGGTTCTTGACAAAAGAAGTTGGTTGAGCTGTGAGTGCTCTGAGAAGTGGGCCAATCCATCATTTTTTTCCCAGTTTATAGAGGGATGTGACTGCTTCAGTTGATTTTTTAAAATATTTTCTGAGATTTACAGAGTTCCAGACTGTGGTTAACTCAGCTTCAGAGCAATTTTGTGCAAGGACTGGTACAAAACTGCATGTCTAATTGCCAAATGAATATTACAGTAAATGAATTCCTCATGAGGTCAAGGACAGGGCTGCTTATTATGGCCTGGGATGATCATGGAAGGTCTTGGGAAGAAGTGATTATGAAAAGGCCTTTAAAAGGATTTTAAGGTAATCCTTGAATTAATCCCCTTTAAATCAAATATTAATTCCCCTGACTCAATTTACTTTTTTAAATTTATCACTTTAGAAAGAATAAACAAGCGGGACCTCATCAAAATAAGAAGCTTCTGCATGGCTAAAGAAAACATCAGCATAATGAAAAAGGAACCAACTGTATGGGAAAATATATTTGCCAATGATACATCAGATAGAGGTTTGATCTCCAAAATACATAAAGAACTCACATAACTCCGCTCCAAGAAGACAAACAATCCTATTAAAAAATGGGCAAAGGACCTGGCCAGACACCTCTCCAAGGGAAAGATACAGAGGGCCCAGAGACATATGAAAGGATGCTCAACATCACTAGCCATCAAAGAAATGCAAATTAAAACCACAATGAGATACTGCTTCACATTGGCCAGAATGGCCATCATAAACATATCAACAAACAACAGGTGCTGGTGACGCTGTGGAGAAAAGGGAACCCTAGTACACTGTTGGTGGGAATGCAGACTGGTGCAGCCACTGTGGAAAACAGTTTGGAATTTCCTCAAAATGCTAAAAATGGATATGCCTTTTGACACAGCGATTCCACTGCTGGGATTATACCCTAAGAATCCCAAAATGCCAACTCAAAAGAACCTGTGCACCCCAATGTTCATAACAACACAATTTACAATAGCCAAGTGTTTGGAAGCAACCTAAATGCCCATCAGTAGATGAGTGGATCAAAAAACTATGGTACATTTACACAGTGGAATATTACACAGGAGAAAGAAAGAAAGAAGAAAAAAAAAAAGAAAGAAAGAAAGAAAGGAAGGAAGAAAGAAAGAACGAGCGAGCTACTACCCTTCGCAACAGCATGGATGGAACTAGAGAGCGTTTTGCTAAATGAAATAAGCCAGGGGGCAGAACACTAATACCATATGATCTCACCTATAAGGGGAACCTAACCAACAAAACAAACAAGCAAGGAAAATATAATCAGCAACACTGAAAAAAAAAAAGAAACCAACTGAGTCCAGAGGGAAGGAGGGGGAGCAGGGAAAGGGAAGGGGAACGGTCAAATCAAGGAACATGTATAAAGGTCCCATGGGCAAAGCCAAAGTGGGGAAGGATTGAGGGAGGGATGTGGGGGAGGGGGGAGGGGGGAGGGGAAAGTGGTGGCAGGAAGGTGGAGACAAATGTATTTGAACAAAAAATAAAAATTAAAGAAAATAAAATTAAATTAAAAAAATAAAAATAAATAAATGTATCACTTTATATTTTCACCTAATAACCATCCCTAAATGGTGCCCATAACAAAAGATAATTTTTTGGCTAAATTATGAGTTTGATAGGTTTCCAGTGTTGGTCTGAGTATATAACCTTCATCCATAACATGGCTTCTGTGAGGAAAAAAGGTGCACTCCAAATTTCAGATAATCAATGTATAAACCCATTTTCAAAAATTCTTTGATGGGTTCTTTCACTCAATGATTATTCATTGAGTGCCCTTCATGTATCAGACACTGTTGTAGGCATACATGATCAAAACAAAGGTCATTGCACCCATGAAGCTGACAGTCTAGAGAAGAGAGACAGTTAATAAACATAATAATTGGTACAGCCTGTTGGAACATGGTAAGTGCTATAGGGAAAAAAAAGTAGAGCAGGGTAAGAGGGGTACGGATGAGTGGTCATTTTAAATAGGATAGTCATTGAGAAGGTGATATTTAAGCAAAATGTGAAGGTAGCCAGCCAAGGTGGCTAACCATATCTCGGCAAACAGCATTTAGGGCAAAAGGAAAAGCCAGTGCAAAGTAGGCAGGAGCTTACCTAGTGAGTTTGAAGAATAGCGAGGAGGCTGTTGGAGGGGGTGGGAAAGACAAGAGAGGTTAGAGAAGTAAGTTGGGTAGTGGTAGGGTCTGAACTTGCTACATCATGTAGAGTTTTGCAGGCTATTGTAAGGCCTTTGAGAAAGTTAGAGGTCATTTGTATTGGCCTGTCTTAAAGTAAGGCCTGCCTATATCGAAATAATTCCTGCTTTTCCCTGTGTCCCATACATCAACTTTAATGTGCCTACAAATCACCTAAGACCTTGTTAATATTTAAATTCTGGTTAGTAAGCCTGAGGTGGGGCCTGAAATTCTGCATTTTAAACATGCTTCCAGGTGATGCCAGGCTGCTGGTTCACTATCGCACATGATAATGAGAGTAAGAAGTACTGGGCTCTGAGGGGCTTTGGCGCTTCTCTCTCCATTAGGTGGTTTCAAGGGACTTCTTATTCCCTATAAGCTTGAAAGGACAACTTCAGAAGGCTTTCGTTCACTCTTTCATATTGGTCATGTTCTCACCACTGGCCTCACTACTTCATGGTCCTAACACCTGACTAGTAAGAGCATGGTCCAGGGCCCTCTGGTAACAGGAGATAGGTTGTCTGGCTGTTGGCATGCAGGGTCTAAGAAGTTTTGACGGCCTCCTTCTCACTGCCACCATGGAGTCACTACTTCTGAAGCTCAACCTGGGAAACCTGCTCTGCTCCTTGAATGGTGGACTGTTTGAACACATTCCTCTCTTACCCCAGTCATGGAAGTTCTGACTTGTGGTCTTCACTCCTGGTGCTATACCTGGAGTGACAGCCCAACTCTGTAAACCGCGCTTGAGGCAGCTCGAGGACTCGGGCGATGCTCCCAGGCAGATGCTTCCAGGGGCTCTGCTAATGCCTGTTTAACAAAGCTGGTCTTAAGAGCTAGCAAAGTGCTTGACAGCCGAGTTGGTCTGGAAGGACTTGTGAATACAAAGCACAGGTTATGAGTCAAATAGGCTTGGACTTGAACTGTGTTTCCATCCCTATGGAATCTCAGGAAGGTTTTCTCATCTGGAAAATAAGAATGATGACAATACCTCCCTCATGTATTGATATAACGCATATAAAACCCTTAGTTAAGCGCCTCATTCATGATACTCACCAAATACTAGTTGCTATTATTTTTATAATTATTATTTGCTCCCCACCAGGTATCAAATGACCCCACCAGGTATCAAATGGCTTTGTGGCCTGGCCTTACGGTACTCACCTTTACCTGCCCTGGAGTTAAGGTACTAGAGGCCTTCAAAGATGAGACATAAAGAACTCACACTAGCAATAGCAGCGTCACCGTGATAGATGTCACAGGGAATAATTGAAGAAGCTAGAGGAGTTTAGTTTAGAAAGTATATAATGGGACAGACGTGACAGCTGCCTTCAGGTTGTCTTGTACATGATGCATTAGGAGTGTTCTCTGAGACCCCGAGACCATAGGGAAGAAGTTAAAGGGAAACACGCCCCTCGCTACAGCAAAGTGAGTTATTGCGAGAGGGGGTAGGGGCGTCTGCGAGGGTCGGCTCCTGCGCAGCTGCGGCGGTGGGGCCAATCACCAATCACCGGCCGCAGCCGGCCCTCGCGCGACCGCACAGTCGTACAGCCGTGCAGTCGTGACGTCCGTGGTTGCCATGGAGAGGAGAGCCGGCTAGCTGAGGACCGCTAGCTAGCTTGGGACCGCGAGCTGGCGCCAGAGGCAACAAGGTTGGAGCGTGGCTTTGAAGTCGCGTCAGCTACCACCATGAGCGGCCGAAGTCGAGGTAGAAAGTCCTCCCGCGCCAAAAGCCGGGGCAAAGGCCGCGCCAAAGCCCGAGTTCGCGCTGCTCCCGAGCACGGCCCGCACGACCCGGACCCTCCGCAGTGCCCGAGGCCCGGGGAGGAAACCCAAGCAGCACAGGTGCAGGCTGGCGCGGGTTGGGGTGGCCTGGAAACCGCTGCGCCCGCGCCGCCCTGCGGGCCGGGGGAGGAGGCTGCCTGCCAGCTCCCGCTGGACTGCGGCCTCGCGCTCCGAGCGGCCGGGGAGCGCGGGCAGGCTGCGACCAGGCTTGGCCTGGGGAAGGCCCCATCCATTTCGGAGCGTCTGATGACAGACACTGTCTTCGTAGGAACCGCGGGAACTGTGGGAAGGCCGAAAAATGGCCCCCGCGTTCGAAATCTGCGCGGGCGTGCTGGGAAGAAGGCCCCAGTGGGGAAGGGGCCTCAGGCCATAGCTGGTGGGAAGCCAAAGAGAGGGACCGCTGGGGAGTGTGCGTCTGTCCCAGTGGTAGAGGAAGAGGAGGTGGAGCCGGATGCAGGGTCAGGGCCCCTGGCGACGGATGGCAGCATGGATACGCTGGAGACAGTCCAGCTGAAGCTGGAGACCATGAATGCCCAGGCAGACAGGGCCTACCTCCGTCTATCTCGCAAGTTTGGGCAGTTACGACTGCACCACCTAAAGCGCAGGAACCTCCTCATCCAGAATATCCCGGGCTTCTGGGGGCAAGCGTTTCAGAGCCACCCTCAGCTATCATCCTTTCTGAACAACCAAGATAAAGAAGTACTCAGCTACTTGAACAGCTTGGAGGTGGAAGAGCTTGGCCTCGCCAGGTTGGGCTACAAAATCAAGTTCTACTTTGGGCGCAACCCCTATTTCCAAAATAAGGTGCTCATCAAGGAATATGGTTGTGGCCCTTCAGGTCAGGTGGTGTCACGTTCTACTCCAATCCAGTGGCTCCCAGGGCACGACCTCCAGACGCTAAGCCAGGGGAGCCCAGACAACAGCCCTAGCTTCTTTGGGTGGTTTTCAAACCACAGCTCTATTGAGTCTGACAAGATTGTTGAGATAATTAATGAGGAACTGTGGCCCAATCCCCTGCAGTACTACCTTATGAGTGAAGGGGCACGTGGAGAGAAAGGAAAGGAGGGCAGGCAAGTTCCAGCAAGGCAGCCCACGGAGACTCCCGAGCCTGGGGTAAACAAATCCAAGTAATCTTGCACAAGGCTCCCTACTACCTCCTGCTGGACTGGTGTCTGGCCGACCACATGTGTTTGACTGGCTTCTCTTCATGTTGGCCTCCATGCACTCTTACCCCTTTGAACTTCAATTACAAGAATATGGCATTTATGATCATGTTCTTTTCCTCCCCATGGCCTTGCTTATTTACATTAGTGTCACAGGTTATGTGACCTCACTCCTACTGTTTCTGTGTTAAACATACATGCTTCAGATGTGTGCTGCTTTTATCTACATGCCTGGACGCTGTTCTTGGCTCTGGCCTTTCGCAGCTGTCTTTAACATGGACATTTATGAGTCATTCTCCAAGAGGACCAGTGCATCCTTAAACTCTGCTACTTCAAGGCTGGTGACTTTGGTGGGCTTTTTTATTCATGCTGGCTATGCATGCCACATATGGCAAGATTTTGTGTTGCTGCTGCAAAATGAAGCTAGTGCACATGGTACTGGCCATCACGACAGAACTGATTGTTCAATGGCCCTGGGGTCACTAGCCAAGGCACCACCTATGGCATCTCTGGCTTTGGACAAGGGTCCATGCTTTCCTGCTGGGTATGACACTTGACTGCTGGGCATGAGTGAGACTAAGGGTGAGAAGCAATTTGCCATGTGTTCTATACCATCATGCGTCTCTGCCTGCGTCTGGGCTCTTCCACTGGTGAACCTTCATCAAGCTTTGCCCCATGTCTCATCACTATGAGGCCGTTGAGTTTTGTCTAGGTTGTTATTGGCTCCAGTTGGCTTCCTGTTCAACAAGAACCTCAAGAACTGCCTGTGGACCTAGACCCCCTGCCAGTGCATGAGACACACACCTACCCTCCCCAGCCTTCTGGGTACCCTGTTGGCTGTCAGACTGATGGGTGGGCTGGTATATGTGAACATGTGCTCACTGTCATCATGCTGTGGCTCCAGATGAGGGTGGGGACTAAGCTCACATAGAATCTAGGTACCTTTCTCAATTCCCCTTTTCCCTTTATCATATATGACCAGAATGCTATAGTGGGGTTGCTGGGGAAGAGCTTATTTCTGGTGTGTAAGCCTGTGTCTACTTCATTTCACACCTCCATATCTCCTTAATTGCTTTTCCTCTTTTACTTCTACCTTTGAACACTGATAAGAGTAGGCTTTAGTCTAGGATGGGGGAATCCCAAGGCTCTCTCCTGGAGGCATGGTGATAGGGGTGGGCAGAATCTGTTCTGGGTCTCCAAGACTCATTTCCACTGGGTGTAAAGGCTGAGCTGGGCCTTCCCTGCCCAGGCTTCTCTGTGTTCTCCTTCCTCCTCTCATCCTTGAGGGTGGGAAGTAGGACTGTATCTTTACTTGCCCTCCCCCTAAATTCCCTTTCCTAATGGAGGACCTCATTCTGAGTCTCCAGGGGCTGTGGAGGCCTTGACTCAGAGTTGTAGAGAGGGGGTGCTAAGTAGGGGAGCTGGAGCAGAAATGTTTTACATGAAAGAGTCTGGTATGGAGTGGTTCTGGAAAAGCAGATAGAAATGAGAAACCTCAGGGAGAATATACCTGCCTATCAGTGATGGAGGGTACATGGACATTCCCAAGGGCTGGGATGGGAGAATTAAAGGGGTTGCTGGCAAATACAGGGTAATAAGATACATCCACTAAAGGAAAGGGTATGCCCAAAGTTTTGTTCTATCTATTTCATCATTCATGTGTTTTATATATAAGAGAAACAAGCCAGAAACAGAATGATGTTACTTTGGATGCTTTATCTTTTGTTCTAGGTGTGGCCTTATGTATGTGAAATATTAATGCTGCTTATTTTGCCTCAAAGTACAATCTTAACCACAGTCCTCATTTTTGCCTACTGGGAATATAGAGCTGTATAGGCCTGCTTTTTTCTTTTACACTTTTTGCTCTTTATTATGGATATTTTCAGACATGCACAGAAGTTAAGAGGATGGTCCATGGATCCTATATACCTAACACCTAGCTGTATCAGTTATTAATTATGATCAACCTGCTTTCATCTGTATCTCCCTCTTCCCACCTGTATTTTTTATCAGAAGTCTAAGACACTGTGCCAATTCAACTGTGACTCTTTGCATCGGGTCTGCTTTTTGCTCTTAATGTTAACTAATGACGGTCCAGAGATGGGCCTTAGAGTTGAAGGTCTTCAGAAGTAACAAGGACTCAAAAAGATGAAGGGGATGCTTTCTTTCCCCTGCATCCACAAAAGGAGAGAGGGACTGTTCTGTTGTAAATGTCTTTCTTTCCTGTGTAAAATGGAGACTCGTGTGACTGTCTGAATTGTTACCAGTTTGTTCTGATCTCGTAACTCCAGTCTTGGAAATATAACTCGGAAATTGTTGCTGTGTTCTGTGAAAATAACCTCCCAAAACTGGTTGTCTTACTAATTTGACACCCTGTTAATAATGCAATTATTTCCTCATTCCTAAACAGTATAAATAGTTGTAAACTTGCATGCATGATGGAAAAATAAAAACCTGGATCTCTATTATGTTTTTTATTTTCAAAAAAGACTTGGAGGCTGGGGAGTTGAGAGGATGTATACATTGGCCTAAGTGAGTGATCCTAAGCCTCACACCCTTGTGTGACTGACTGCATAACAATATGTAAAATTCCGATTCCCAAACCCTTACCAGAGATTGCAGTTCTATGTTTCTGGCAGGAAGCCAGATAAGTGTCTTTTACCACAAGCTTTCTGGGTGATTCTAGTGGAAATCCAGTGCTTCTTAAATTTTTGAGTTCATCTGAATTGTGTGGGGAATCCTGTTAAAATCCTGTGAAAATACTGAATTTTGATTTAATAGTCTAGGTTGGAACCTGAGATTCTGCATTTCTAATGAATTTCTAGGTGATGCTGGTGCTGGTGGTTTGTGAACCGTGTGGGAAAGAAGGTGGCCTTCAGGCCACCTCAGAGTAGAATACCAGTGCTCAATCTTGATTGCACAATTTTCTGGGAATCTTAAAGAAATATACTGTTAGAGTTCCACACAAATACCAACTAAATCAGAATTGGAGGGTTGGGAGGAAAGAGTTGGTCCAGGTATAGGTATTTTTAAAACATCCCAGATGATTCTGATGTCTAGCTAGAGTTGAGAGCTAGGGTCTCTGATGCCGTTCATAACAGACCCATAACAAGGATCATTTTTCTTTAATTAGGAGGAGCAGCATCAGACAACCAAATGCCACATAAAACTGTCCAGCAGAAAATGGTTGGAAAAAATGAGAAGTGGGTTGTTAAATGAGAAGAGAATAAAATTGGTTTGTATTGTGAAACACTTGAATCAACAAATGTACAATGTTCAGGGCATAGTAGGTGCCCAAATGTTGAATGAATGAATTTGAACAGTTTATATTCAGGTACCCTGGGGCTAGGCTGATGATTAAATTTGTGAAGTGGGCCAAATTTGCTTCATAAGGACATATGTATTCGTTTATTAGGGCTTCCATAACAAAATACCCCCAGACTAGGTGGCTTAAACAATAGAAGTGCATTTCCTTAGTTTTGGAGGATAAAAGCCTGAGATCCTGCTGTCTGCAGGGGTGGTTTCTTCTGAAGACCTCCCTCTGTAGCTTGTAGATGGTTGTCCTCTCTGCGTGTGTCTGAGAGCAGTAGGAGGAGGTGGGGGCTGTGTAAATCAGGGCAGCTCTTCCACAGCGCTGGATCGTGTGTCTGGGGATGATGCAGGCATAGTGTTGCTACATCTTCAAACAGGAATGGGGGAAATCAGGATTTTTATGTAGAATCTCCCTGGTTTGGTATGTTTTCAACTAAACCAACCAACCAACCAACCAACATCCAGAACCTTGCTGTTAGTGGTGTGTTGAGTGGACAGGGTAGATGGGGAGAGCAGCCTCTTCAGGCTTGAGAGGCTGTCAGGATTCATGTGGAGTCCTCTGAGGATGCAAATCTGGAGAGGCTCCAGTTCCCAGGCTCGGCTTTCCCACCCCTCTCTTCACTTCCCTGGAGAAGCCATCTGACCTGGGATTCACCACCTCCCCCTGGGTTCATTCATTCATTGCCTCCTATATGTGCCAGTCTCTAGACTTTAGATATACAGCCATGAACAAATACAACTTTGAATTCTGTCCCCCTCCTAGCTTTTAAGCTCTTCTCGGCTTTTCCCTGGGATTGTTGGTCTATCTTTTACTTTTCTTTTTCTTTTTTTCTGTTTCTTTTTATCCCTTTTCATACATGAGGGTAGCTGGTGCTTTAGATCCATATGGGGGCGAATGGAATGCTCTTTTCATCCTCTGGCCTCTAAGTCAGGCTACACAAGGCAATTAGGCATTTAATAACCTGTAGAGTGAGGGCTTCTGGGAGTAATTCCTGTTATGATAAGAGTCCCTGGCCTTTCTCTCAACTTTGAGTTTTATTACAAAAAGGCCTTCCTCTGGTTACTTAACTTGTTACTTCCTGGGCTTTTTTGAAAGTGTGGAGGGTTTGAGCTATGCTGTAGAGGAGGAAGGAGAGAACAAAGAAATGGTTTTGCTACTCTTAGTTTGCTGCAAGTCTTTATCAACTTTTGCCTCTCTCTCTTTACACTTTGGGCTTCCCCCTTTGGTCTTCTTCCCTGACTTGCAACAAGGGAGAGAGGCGCATTGCCCTGGGGTGGCCTCATTTAAGGAGGAAATTTTCCCCTATTTGCCTCTCTGAAGATTTTGGAAACTCTTTCCACCCTTTTACCTTTTGAGATCCCCATCCTAGGTGAGTGTCTGTTACTGATAGGTGGGGCCATATCCCTTGGGAGTTGGAGGGGGGAGGGAGGGGGGGAGAGAGTGCGAGTGCACGCCCTAGAGAGCCCAGGCTATCCAGTCTATGGTTTCTGTCTCTCTCTGTTCTCAGCATCTTCACTTCCGCTTCTAGAATCTTCTCCAACTGTATTTTACCATTTGGACTCCCAATTCATTCCTGCTAATTCATGTCACCTGGAACTCTGACCTTGGGTTAGTTCTGCTTCTGTACCTCGATCAGGTGTTCAGCTGCTGACTCTTCAAGCCTCGGACCTTGAATTTCTTTCTCTCCCAGCCTCCTATCAAGCTGACCCACAGCTGAGGGTTGACAAACACAAGACGAAATAGCTCCCATCGGTGTAACTGACACTTCATGGTTTACAAAGCCCGTTATCTTACATTATCTCAATTATAACAACTATCCCATAAGAAGGCTCTAAAAAGTTAAATGATGACCAAAAGCACAAAACCAGTAAGCAGTAAAGCTGGACTCAAACTCAGGTCTTCGGACACTAAACTCCATCCATACATGTGGTGGTAAACATGAGGCCCAAGCTGATAACTTTGTACTCTGACTCCAGGCGCTTCTTTCCACAGAGCCTTTCCTTAACCCTTCACGCAGTACGTCAGAGCCCTCAGGACAGCGCCTTAGTAAGGTATTGCCGGTCAGTCAGAGTTGGCATATGAATGTGAACCACTCTTGAGGGCAGGACTGACCGCTGGGTGACTCAGCAGGGTGGCTGAGGCTTCCTTTAACTGCTTTGTTCTAAGGTCAGGATTGGTTCTAGACACATAGAGGCTAAGTGAGGTTTTTGCCTATATCTATCGATACCTGAATATGAATGATTTGGGGGAAAGGAGGTAATTTTTCTTCCATAACAAGAAGTCTGATGATAGGAAGTTGCAGGCTTGCTTCCGTGGCTCAGTGATGTTCATTAGGCTCTGAGTCCGCCTCTCAGCCTCTCTGCTCTTGGCTTTCCCTTCATGATTCCCCAGCTCTAAGCACCACATCTGCACCCAGTCACACTTACAGGCAGGCAGGTAGGAGGGGAGGGGGATCTTTTCACATGTCTCTGTCTTTAACAGGGAAGAAATTTTTTGCCAGTAGTCCCTGGTAGGTTTCAGGAGACCTGAGTCAGGTCCCATGGGCTGGAAATGGGTCACACTCCCACCCTCCACTTTAAGGAAATACGGTGCGTTTCAGCGTCTTCCAAGGGAGTGGGTTTCTGTCCTCTGAGAATAAAGTGAGATCAAGGAGCTAGAATTGATGGGGATTTTAGTAACCTTAGGCTGGTCCTTTCTGGGATGATGTGTGGCTTTTCCTGATTATGAAACGCTGCATAATAAGTGGAGGCACCGTGCACCTGTCTCTCCCACCCCGGCCCTCCTAGTCACCTGTATTTCTCAGCCAAGAAAGCACTACCTGCGCTCAGTGTTTTATGTCTCATTTCTGTTACGTGGTAAATGTTTTTCTGGCCAGGCAATGCCTTTTTGATTTTCCTATCTTCCCACAGCACCTAGCCCAGGGTTCACTCAGTATTTGATGTCAATAAATGCCAGTTGCCAGAATGCAATAAATTAATACTTTTTCTAAAATGTAAATTTAATCATATCAGTCATCAGTTCTAAACCTTCAGGAATAGGGTTCAAAATCCAAATATGTTCATAACAGGCCCTTTGTTATCTGATTCTACATTTTTTCTTTGAAAATTTATTGTGAAAAATTTCAAATGTACATAAAAGTTGACAGAAAAGTACAATGATCACCCATAGATCTATTTAAATTCAACAAATATTAACTTTTTGCCATATTTATTTTATCTCTGTGTGTCTGTGATATTGTTGAATCATTTGAAAATAAGTTGCTTGACACTTCCCCCCTAAATACTCAGCATCCATCTCATTTTTAAAAGGATATTTTTCTACATAATCATGAAACCATTATCAGACTGCAGAAAATTATACCCAAATACCTCCTAGTATCCAGTCCATATTTAGATTTGTAATTATTCCCAAGATTATCTTATAGTATTAATTTTTAAATCAAGATCTAATAATATTCAGGCATTGCATTTGGTGGTTATTAGTTTAGTCTTTTTAAAAAAAAAATAATCCCCTTCCTTTCCCCACCCCCCACTCCCCACAATTGACTTTCTGAAGTTAGGCCAAATATGTTATAGGATGTTCCACATTCTGGATTTATCTGATTGCAGCTTCTTGGTGTAATTTAACTTTTTCCTCTGTCTTCTGTATTTCTTATAATCCAAGGATTTGGGTAAAACATCTTTGGCAAGAACACTATGTAAGCGAGACTACTTCAGTCACGCATCACTTCAGGAGGCATGATGATAGGTTGTCCCACTGTTGTGCTGTTAGTTTAGTCTCTTGGTTAAGAGGGTGAACACTAGATCTCTCCTTTGTAAAGATACCCTTTCCTTCCAGTAAGCAGGTAATCTCTGAAGGTACTTTGTCAGTGTGAGAATATCCTGTTGCCTTGAAATTTTCATCCCAAGATTTCAGCAGCCATTAATAGTATTTGCCCACATTCATTATTTTACTGTGGGTTACAAAATAGTGATTTTTCTAATGTTGGCATTTCTTTGACATACTTTAGCTGGGATTCTCCTATAAGAAAGACCTCACCCTCATCATCTGGCCGTGAACTATACTTCCTTCTGAAAGGTAGTATAAATGCTTAACTCGTTCCTTTTAATTACCAATTGTCAGCATCAGAAGTTGGTGTAATAATTATCTCTAATGGTCTCAAGAACATGTTTTTGTTTTTGTCTCTTTACTATCACTGTGGACTTGTAGGTTTTTTAATATATTTTTAAAGATTTTACTTATTTTTAGAGAGGGGAAGGGAGGGAGAAAGAGAGGGAGAGAAACATTAATGTGTAGTTGCATCTTGTGCGCCCCCTACTGGGGACCTGGCTTGCAACCCAGGCATGTGCCCTACGCTAGGAATTGAACCAGGATCCCTTTGGTTCGCAGGCCGGCGTGTAATCCATTGAGCCACACCAGCTAGAGCTGTAGGTTTTTATTTATTTAATGTTTTACAATCAATGAGTTACAGTCAGCTTTCTTTTGGCTGCTCAGTTGGCCTGCATTTTGCTGCTAAGGAACTTTTACCAAACTCCTCTTGTCCTTGTCCCTGATTTTCTCCCATTGCCCCTGTACTGCGCTCCGGTCAGCGTGATCCACTGCTGAGTTTCGCTACCCTCTGAGCTTCTCAGACCCCGCACATTTGCACAAGCTGCTCAAGGAGCCTTGCAGCCCCTCTCAGGTGCTCAGATATGGCTCAGATATTTTTCTGTGCCATAGTTATTAATTTTTCAAGGCTGTATGAGTCCCCCTTTCTCTTTATTTCTATACTATTTTGTCCACCTTTCAAATCACAGTACCTAATGTAACCTAATGTAGTAACTTGTTCCTGTCTGTTTACCTGTGTGCTCCCACCAGAGACTATGAGACCTTTGTGGCTGCAGAATAATAACAAG